ATAGTGTTTGGGCACAAATCATGAACTACACCTGGTAAAAATCCTGAGTAACCAGAGGGCTTGGTGTTGCAGGAAGAGGAACTGGAGGAGATTTTTTGGTTGTACTTTACAAGGAAAGATGATTGACAAGCATCATTGGACAAACTCCCTTCCCTTTACTTCTTTGAGCCATTAGCTCAGACATTCCTGATGTCTGTTGTCTGGGGGGCTCTGGTCACTTGGGAGCCTTTCAACACTGCACAGAAAAACAGTAAGACTGGTCTGAGTCTTGGGCATACTGAGTGGGGGCTGGGTCACAGGGCCACCTGATCACTATTCCTTGGTGGGGGGCCTAAAGGAAAGGGATTGTCTCCAGTTCCACAGCATTCATGGTGCCAAGCTCCTCTCTGTGCGTGGGAAACAATGGTTATGGGCTTCCCTAGACAAAGGATCTTCCACGCTACACTTGAGCTGGAGATTTTTGTTTTCCTTCTTAATCGGGGCTTTCTAGGGGCATTCCAATGAATAAGAGTTTAAAAGAGGACAGATAGGAAAAGAGATCCTGAGAAAAAAAGGAAGGACTTGTTTTTTTAAATTCTAATGATGAATGTGATTCATATTAACAGATTAAGAAAAACAGTGTGACTGTCTCAGTAGATGCAGGAGAAGGATAGGACAGAACACAACATCCTATCATCATGTACATCCTCACTATACCAGCACAGAAGGGAGCTTCCATAATCTGGTAAATTGCATCTTTAATAAAGCCTACAGCTAAGAGCACACTTGATGGTAAAAGAGATCTAGAAGTTGACAAGGCTGTTTTCTCTCATCACACTCAAGTGGGAGATGCTTGGGTTTGGGCCCAGGAGGGTGAGGGGAGAAGGTGACTCATGAGATACTCTTGGAGGGCCTTGAGGTGCAGATGATCAAGGAGGTCACCAACCAGAAGAAACAGCCTCCCCAGGCAGGCACATGTGTGAAATCCAGCCAATGAAAATCCTCCCTGGAATGGGGTCAGTCACGTGAGGTTGTGCCTGGACAGGGGAGTGAGGGCAGAGGCTCCTGGCGGGGGATCCTGAACCTCAGGAAGGACTAGTTTTTGATTGCCTAAGTTAGTGTTTCCTAAATCCCAAAGTAATGCCACTTGAATTCCTGATTTTTTTTTTTTAATAAAAAAAATAGCCAATAGAATCATGGACCACTCCCTGACCTACTGAGTCAAGTTTTCTGAGGGCGGGGCCCAAGGATATTTCTCTATAATAATTATTCTGCATAATTTGGCTGGAAACCACTCTTTAGGAATTCTTATTAGGACTTTTCATTTAAAAAATCTGTTTTTTCATATCAGTGATAATTGCTTGGGCACAGGGGCCGTGTCCTCCTCATATGGAATCCTTAATGTCTCGCATAATTCCCAGTATAGAGTTAGTGCTCAAAAAGCATTTGTAGAAGGATAATTGCAGCTGTTTCTCAAAGGTGGCCATCAACTGTGCAGACTGTGGGGCAAGGTACTGTTGACAAGGAGGTAAAACTCTCAAATTAAACCTATTACTCAGGGTGTGGTGCCAAGTAATCGTAAAGCACGAAAAAAAAAAAAAGGTCCTTTGCCTTGAAAGGACCACATGTGGGTAGAATAGCCTAGAGACTTTCTCTTTTGCAAAGACTGTTTTTGAAAGCTCCAGGGTAACAAGCAAATCAAAGGTAATAACCACTAAGTTTTGTTGACTACCTTCTAGGATTATTTATGGCAGTCTTGAGCCATAGCTAATAATTAAAGCCACCTGGTCCTTGGTTTTCTCATCTGCAAAATGGGGGCATGGACACTTGCCAGCTTCTTGTGTCGAAGAGATGTTGTCAGTATGACTGGGGGCCATCTGTTTAGTATCAGGGAGCATTCAGGAGAGCCATAAAAAGAGCCGGCCACCCTCTGGTTTGTCATGAACACCAGGCTGCTACATACAATAAAGCCCTAGCTTCTGAATACTGGCGCCCATCCAGGCCACTTTGCCTTGGGTCTATGCAGTCTCTATTTGATCAGAATGAATGTGATTTCCTTTTTAATTGTACCCAGTTATAACATCTAATTATTTAAGGCATAATAAAGCTGGAAAGCCCAACCATTAATGCTGCTCCCAGATAAGAACCTGCCATGCACCTGTCAGCTATATTTGTCAACTGGGGTTCAGACAGATGCGGTCTGAATCCCACTGCTTCTTTGGCAGAGGTAGCAGAAACTGCTCTTATCTTGGAAAAGTACAAACTGTTGAAGCTTGAAGGGTCCCTAGTGTGCCTGAACGTTGAGAACAAAACCATGAAAGGGAATTCAGTTATGTAGTCTCTTGGTCAGAACAAAACAGTTAAAATTAGAGAATGTAGAGGACTTTACACTAGGCTATTGAATTTCATCATTGCAATAACAACAATTATTATCCTTATTATGACTATTACTATTATCTTGATTTGGAAGAGGAGGACACTGGAGCTAGGAGAGTTGAAACAACTTACCCAAGGCCACCCCGGTAGCAGCACAGCTAGATTCCACGCCAGGCTTGCTGACTCTAATTACATGATCTCTTCACCATGCTCTGCTGTCTTGCCCAGAGGCAAACTCTATGGAAGAATGAAATGATACTTGTTTGCAGGAGAAATGAGAAATGGGCTTAGCTGACTCGGTGTGTAAAGGAATTGCCCGTAGGCAGAAATGAAGTTTGATACTGTACCCATGGATTATCCATTTCATTTGGGGGCTCATCCTTGTTTTAGCCAGACTTAGGCAATGTATCCTTCATGTATTTAAAATTTTGGTATCATAGTATTTCTCTGAAATATGGTGATTCTTAACCTTGGAATTCTCATGAGCTCTACAGATCGTCTCCCAAGGAAAATGTATATATGCACATAGGACCCCTCCCCACTTTAAAATCATTGGGTTCCCCCCTCCTCTCCAACTCCACCCCTAAGGTCAGGAAATCTTTCTCTAGGTATGACCTTTCAAATTGGGCCACAGAAAATCTTCATAGTCTAAGGGTTCGTCAACCTGTAGGCCATCAATTTTTTCTATGCTCTAGTCTGTCCATATCTGCATTGATGATAAATCTTTCACTGGAAGGTCATATGGATTTTTCTGTCTACCCAACACCAAGTATCTGGCTATATGATGCTGACAATTTCTCTGTTTCGTTCATTGTTGTATCCCTGAAGCCTAGAACCGTTCTTGGTATAGTTACATGATGTAATCTGTATGTTTTATTTTTTGTGTTGAACATATGTTTTTTAAAAAAATTGGGTGCATAAATGTTTGGAAATTAACCATACATGTAATAGGAAAATTTTTTTGGGGGGGGTTGGGGAGGGGAAGAGGGAGAAAGAGAGAGAATCTTAAGGAGGCTCCATGCTCAGCATGGAGCCTGTCAGGGGCTCCACATGGGGCTCAATCTCAGGACCCTGAGATCATGACCTGAGCAAAAATCAAGAGTCAGACGGTTAACTGACTGAGCCACCCAGGCGCCCCAGAGAGCTTGTTCTTAAAGAGAATTTATCTATAATTGCTCCATTATGTACATCATCCTAGATTATTTGGTGTATAAATTTTACCAAGCTAAGAAAGTTCTCTTTTAGTCCTAATTCTGGAAGAGTTACTATTATTTTTTAAAAATTACAGTTAGATGCTGGACTTTATCAAGTGTTTAGACATTGAGTGGGGTAATTCCATAATTTTTCTCCTAGAGTTCATTAATGTGGTGAATTACATTGATAACATTTCTAAGAATAAATCATCCTTGTATTCCTGGGATAAATCCTACTTTAACATGATGTGTTGTTGTATTATTATTACTATATCACCATCATGTATCAGCAAACCAAAATTTTATTTGGGATTTTTGAATCTCTGTTGACAAATTAAATGGGTCTGTAGTCTTTTCTTGTGTTGACCTTATCTAGGTTCAAAATCAAGAATTACATGAGCCTTTTATTTTCGAACCACTTGTGACTTTTTATTTTGATTCTATCTGAGAGACAACATAGTGTTTTGTTTTTTTTTAGAATTTAAATTCAATCCAGGAATCTGTATCTTTTAATGTTTTTTATATATATTATAATTACTGTGCTATTAGAACTTATCCTGTAACCCTATTTCTACTTTCCATTCACTGTATTTTTTTTTTTTAATACCCCCTTCCTGTTTTCCATAGAAAGATCCAGTTTTCTTCAGCTGGTTTAAAAACGTAACATTCTATATCTGTTCTTATAGTAAGAACAAAAGTGGCCATCACCCCTTACTTCTGATCCATACTTAGGTTTATATTTTCCCCTGTCGATTTCTTAAATTTGTCAATACCTATATTTTCCCTTTTGTAAAACAAAAACATTAGCACATTTTAATTTCTCTTTGATCTCCTCCAGGGCCACACATTACATGCCTCTGCAAAGTAAACAGAATATAAAGTGAATGGTGTCCCTTGCACTTGAGCAATCATGCTGATATTTTCTAGATATTTTGTTTTGGGTGGTTTGGGATGTATTTTCTCTTTCTTTTCAGCTTAAAGAAAATTCCTCTCATAAACTTTACCCATGGATCTGATCATCTTTTGCTCCTGTATTTCTTTGAATTCTCCCAGTTGCCCTTTTTATTTGTGTGCTTCCTCAAAGAGCAATTTTAATGTGAGGCCTTGTCTATCTGAGGATGTTTTTGTTATGCTACCATATTTAAATGATAGTTTGGCTGGATTTAAAATTATAGGTCCAATGCTCTTTTCGTTAATACTTTAAAAATATTTCTTCGTTGTTCGTTTGCATCTAGTTTTGCTGTTGAGAAGAATACTATTAATATGATTCCTGTTCCTCATCTGTTAATATACTTTTTTTTCTCCATAGGGTTTTAGATTTTCCTCTTTGTATGAGTTGTTTTTAAATTTCATTATAATGTGTCTAGGTGTTAGTTTTTCGTCACCCCTAGAGTTTGACTGTCCGTTACTCTTTCCATCTTAGATCTTTCATAATTTCTTTTTAAATTTTAGGAATTTATCTTCATCATACTCAAGACAAGGACAAGACAAGAATAACCACAATCACCATTGCTGTTTATCATGGTACTCGCCAAACCTATAAGGAAAGGAATAAGAGATGTAAGGATTGGGGGCACCTGGGTGGCTCAGTTGGTTGAGTGTCTGCCTTTGGCTTAGGTCATGATCCCGGGGTCCTGGGATTGAGCCTGCATTGGGCTCTGCACTCGGCAGGGTCTGCTTCTCCTTCTCCCTCTGCTATTCCCCCTGCTTGTGCTCTCTCTCTCTCTCTCTCAAATAAATAAATAAATAAATAAATAAATAAATAAATAAATAAATAGATAGATAGATAGATAGATAGATAAATAAATAAATAAATAAATAAATAAATAAATAAATAAAATAGTTAACTAAAAAAAAGAGATGTAAGGATTGGAAGGGAAAAGAGAAAACCGCTATTGTCAGCTGAAGAGATGATCATCTATCTAGAAAGATCATCATATTCAAGAGACAAACTGTTAGAACCAGTAAAAGAGTTTAGCCAGGTTGTTAGAAGTAAGATAAACTCACAAATTTTATTAGAATGTTTCAACAACATCAATAACCAACTCAAAAATACAATAGAAAGTAAGATGCCATTCACAATGTCAACAGGAACTATAAAGCAAATAAGAATACACTTATCTAGGAATACACCAGACTTCCATGGAGAAAATTTTAAAATTATAATAATAAAGAATATGGAATATGATCTCAATAGATGGAGAGCTACCCCCCGCTCAGCTGGGCCAAATTAATCTTATAATGATATCAGTCCTCCTTAAAGCAATCTATAAATTCAATGAAAAAACAATAAAAACTCCAGTTGTATTTTTTTGGAGGAACTTGATAAACTTGTTCTAAAATTTTAAGATGTGCTATAATAAATAATAGTGAAAACTTTCAAGTGTTGGTACAAGAACAGACAATGAGACCAATGAAATACAATGGAGTTTAAAGACAGGTCCATGTATATAAATTGGGTATTTCTATTTAAAAAAAAAGGACACCACGAATAAAGTTAACAGATGCCAGATTAGGAGAAGAGATTTATATTGAGTAAAACTGATAATATCTAGAATTTTACATGTAGAATATACAAAGAACTCCTAGTCCACAAGAAAATGACAGCAACCCCACTGGAGAAATTGGCAAAGGAATAAAGAGTCATTTTAGAGAGAAGGAAATCCAGAAGGTTAACGAGCATATGAAGAGTATGTATTACTATGTATTAGTATTAGTAATGTAGAACAAAACCACAATGAGCTATCACTACATCTATTTGGTCAGCAAAAATTGGGAAGCTGGATGGTGCCAAGTTTGGTGGTGAAATGGAAATCTGTGAAGCTGGTGGGAGTCCTGGAGAGCAATTTGGTTGTATTTTGTCAGCTTAAATATATGCATACATAGTAATTCTACCTCTGGGCATATAACCCACAAAAGCATGCATATCTGTAAAAGGATGCATCAAAATATTCATCGATGCTTTGATTGTGGAGGGAGAAGTTGGAGACAATCTGGTTAAGTAAAACACCATGTTTGCATTCCATGGGCTCCTTTGAAGACATCAGAAGAGACAGATGGAATGTCTACACAGCAGTGTGGATGGACCTTAAACATAGTGCTGAATGACAAACTCAGGAACAGTGTGAGCACTTATAGTACAACACCACAGACATGAATAAAAAAAAATCTGTGCATGCAAAACAGTACACATTTTGTAAGAACAGGTACAAATGTCTACAAATAAAAGGACTGACATCAACAAGATGAAAATACCTGCTTTGACTGGTATATGGTGGAGATGAGTGGCGACAAGAGAAAGACTAGGCATGGAAGATTGCGGGTAGGGAATGAATGAATGAATGGATGGATGAGTGAATGAGTGAATGAGTGAATAAGAGAGAGAGCTGTTGGGGACCCATGATGATAAAGTGCCATGGCTGAAAAGGATGATGAAGGCCCAAATGGAAAGGGGAAAATAAGGCCTAGTCTGGATGATGGCACCTAGTGAGTACAAGTAGATATATGTTGAATGAAGGAAGGAATGAAGTCTGTGGTAAATCCTTTTTGCAAAGCTAAGGATTCTTTTTTTTTTTTTTTTTTAAGATTTTATTTATTTGACAGAGAGAGAGAGAGACAGTGAGAGAGGGAACACAAGCAGGGGGAGTGGGAGAGGGAGAAGCAGGCTTCCCACCGAGCAGGGAGCCCAATGCGGGGCTCGATCCCAGGACCCTGGGATCATGACCTGAGCCGAAGGCAGTCGCTTAACCAACTAAGCCACCCAGGCGCCCGGCAAAGCTAAGGATTCTTTTGCAATATGAATCAGTGCTCTTTACTGAATTATTTTAGGAGTTTTGATTTTGATATATGAAACTTAAAAAAAAAATGTGGGCACACCCAAATTTGAGGCCTCTGGAGGCATTAAAAGAATTTTTTCTTTTCTTCGACTTCTTGAAGTATTGCATACACATGGACGCCTCCTCCCTTTTGGAACTATGCCATGCAGTTTGACTTTGGATTCTCAGCCACAGAAAACGTCTTCCCAACAAATATTGGATATTTTGACCAAGTCTCGGTTCCCAAATACCTGCGTATGTGTGGTCATTGATATCCAGAGTCTTTGCTGGAAGCACTGAGCTGGAATCTGGCTCCTGAGCTTTAAGGCTGTCAGAGGCCACAGGGCTTAGAGCTGGGCATGACGGTGGGCTTGCCTACTGACACTTTTTTACCTGCTGTTGTGTAAGATCTGATTTGTCAGCACACCTCTAGATTTGTCATCTTCCTCCCTTCTTTCCAGAGGACAGAGAATTAGCCCAGATCTTCCATTGATCTGTTCTAGGTTTTAAATATGACATTTGGCTTTCATTGACTTCAACGGAACAAATATCTGTCAGTGTGATTATTTAAAGCGCTGGCTCTCATACCAGGAACTTGGGTCCCAGAGCCAGCCTATCACCTCATAGCCCCGTGACACTGGGCCAATTAAATTTCCTGAGCATTTGTTTCTCCGGACCATATGGAGAGAAGTCTCCTCACAGAGTTGTGGTAACTCAATCAGATAATGTAGTGAAGGCTTAACATAGAGCTTGGTGCCTAGTAAGTTGTTGTTACGAGGATCGCTTCATGGAAATTATTACACTAGGCCTTGAGGAGAGCCCAAGATAAATAAGAAAATGTTCTTAATTTCATGGAACTTGGAGACATAGGACAAAACTCAGAACCATGTGAGGCAGGACCAGTGAGGTCACATATCCTCCCAAGAACCCCGTGAGACATTCGGAGAACTGCTTCTTCATTTTATAAACAAGGAAACAGAGACTCAGAATTAGGTGACTTGGTGAAGAGGACGCAGCCAGGGAGAGGCACAGCCTCGCTGGGAACCCACCCCTCCTATGACTGAGCCAGGTTGGATGGAGGTGCCTTGGTTTCCGGTGGACAGGGTTGTGTCAGATGGCTCTGAAGCGGGTGCGGGGGTGGGGCGCAGAGCCGCTAGGGGGCTGTAGTCGGGGTCAAATGATTGGGTCACTGGGGCCTAAGCATGTGGATTCAGAACCACAGTGGCAGAAAGCTTCCAGACGGGAGGGAGTCCGTGGCCTAACCCGCATATGCTATGAGGTGGTGAACCTCACTCCTTTTCTTTTGAGAAGCTTTGTGCTAGCAGGTGGGTGGTACTAGGAGGGAGGCCCTGCTCACACTGCGTTGTTAAAGAGCAGGGGTTACTCCTCTCTTCCCTGAGCGAGTTGGCCTCTTTCTCCACGGGCGCCCTCCACGTTTAAGCATGCTGACGCCTCGCCATTTTGGTAGTGGCTGGGGGGCAAGGGAGGGGCTATTGGGTTTCAAAATGGAAGCAACAGAAAAGCAGTATTAAAAGAATGAAGAGGTTGTTTAGTGAGGCTTGAAGAGGCTACAGGTGTTTCCTCCTGTGTTGAGAACCGGTGACCCCCCGGGAATTGCATTTCCCGCCGGGCGGGGCCCATGGCGGCCTGCGCCCCGCCGACGTGCCCGTGGTTTAGAAGCCTCAGTGGGCACCACAGCCAACCCCGAGTCGTCCGGGGTCCTGGGGGCCCGTCGCGGGCCCGGAGGGCTCCGAGTCTGGACACGCGTGCTCGCGCGGCTCCCACCCGCAGACGTGTTCACCGCAGCCCGCCGTCGCTCGGCGCTCCGGGGCCGCGTCCGGGCCGCCCCGGCCTTCTGCGCCGCGCCGTCGGGCAGATCCGGCCGGCTGGCCGCGAGCCGAGCGGCCTGCAGCCGGGGGGGCCCTGAGGGCGCGCACAGTGGGGTGACGGGCGGGCGGCCTCGCTGAAGAAAAAGCGCCCGGCGCCTGAGGTGGGAGGATGTGATGACGCGGCGGCCCCGCGCGGCGCGAACTCGGGCCTTTAAAAAGCTGAGGAAACATCCTCTGAGCAGGCGGTGGCTACGCTGGAGGAAAGCACACCCAGGGCCCACATTCAAGAAGCCAAACTGTCTGCTTCAAAGAGAAAAGGCGACATCCTGTCACAGGCCATGCTCTGGCAGAAACGTAAGTGGTGCGACCGGGGCTGTCAGAGCCCTGTCGGCCCAGGTAGGCGCCGGGAGCTCGCCAGGGAGCCGGGCCGCGTCGCGGAGGATGTGGTCGTGCGGGGCCGGAGGCAACGGGCTCCGCGAGCCCAGCGGGAGGGAGCGCAGGGGTGAGGCGGGCGGCGGGGCCGCTGGGGAAGCCAACCTGCCAGAGGTGAGGCCGAGTTTCCAGGCTGGGGGGCACGGGCTAGTGTTCCAAGGTGGGACAGCTCATCGTGTCCCCGCTGTGCGGCGTGAATCACCGGGGCGAGGAAAGGCCAGTGCATGATTCACACAACGAGAAGCCAAAGGTGACACGGGTTTGGGGCCCAGAGGGGAAAGCCGTGCAGTCCTTCACACGACTGCCTTCAGTTTTCATAATCAGCTGCTCTTGAGCTTGTGGTTCCTGTCCTGGGGCCTGTTTGTCTCTGAGCGACTTCGGTTTCTGCCGAAGGCGTCGTTTGTCCCTGTGAGTGCCCGGGACCCTGGGGCTTGGCTTTGTCAGGCAGGTCTTGGCTGGCTCCGCGGCCCTGCCCCTTGTCGTG